AATCTTTTTTTTCTGTGATACCTAGTTTTTCAACAGTTCAAATGTTATGTATATATTTTCCTATGGAGGACTTTCTCTTTTTACTTTATATGATACTTTTGAATTATTGAGATTGTTTATAGTAAAAAGCTATAATACTTGCATAATTTTATTTATATATTAACTCATTGAACCATACTTTAAAAATTAAATTAATTTAGAAGCTTTTCAAAACTCCTACTGTCTAGCATACAAACCCCTTTCATTCTAACAAAGGAGTTTAAATCTTTTTATTTATTTTTTGCTGTTGGTAATGCAGTTTGAACTTAGGGCTTCATTCTATCACTTGAGCTGCACCTCCAGCCCCTAAATAAGGACTTGAATACACACGGGCAAAACATATGTTATGGCTCATATGTAAAAATCTGTCCTTTTACAGACATCTGTCTTCAGGTTGTCCACACTGCTTTTTATCCATCAGAAATATGTCATGTTTGGCCTTTTAAGATCCTGACAGAAGCAATTTGTCTGCCTTTCACTGCTGGTCAAGGCCATCAAACCAGTGTGCTAAGACAAGTGCTGTCGAACATTAACTTCACTTTTTCTTAATTGTGCCTTCAGCAGACAGGGAGAATCTGACATGCATGGTTTATGGCCCTTTGTGAAAAAAGTGCTAGTGCTTTTCTTGTTTTGTTTTGAGATAAGGTCTTATTATGTAGCCTGTGCTGGCCTCAAACTCATGATCCTTTTTCAGATGCCTGAGTGCTAAAAATACCTTTTCTTCAGTTACTAACTGCCTTTTTAAAGGTTGTCCATAGTGGATGGGCTATCTTCCTGTTGGGCCCATCTTTCTGTCTGGAAATCATTTGTTTTCCACGTGTGATACACAACATATCATCCATGTCTAGTATAAGGTTTATGCATATTCATAGAAAGTTAATGACAAAGGATTTGAAAAATTTGAGAATATTTTTCTTGAAATATCAAACTATTTAAACACTTTATGTAATTTATCCAATGTCTTTTCATTAAGTTCTGAAAGGTATTTTTCAAGTAGTTAATGAGTGTTTAGTCTGCCTTTGTGTTAGTAAGTATATTTGAATTTGATGGAAGGAAACCTACATTTTTAAGTACAGATGAACAAAATGACTTCTCTTCAAGCAGAGACCTTCTTTCCGTAAGGGCCACACTTCATCCACCATACTCCATTTCTGTTATTTGGTCTCCAAAAATAATCTCCTTAGAACAATCTACTTACATTGTTTTAGATACTCTTTTGTTATGAAGATATCATAATGAGACCCATTGTTTTGTACAGTGTATATACACAGATAACAATCTAGTTTTTTATGATTATAAAAATAATTTGTGCAGGCATTTTGAAAAATACAGAAAAATGTAAAAGTTCTTTAAATCCCACATTGAGGGCTAATGTTAATATTTTAGTTATATCCTTTCTGGTTTTTTATGAGATATCTCAAAGTAAAGATCATATCATACCACATATTTTGTGATTTTTTTTCTCTTAGTTCTCATGCCCATGAAATGGAAAATAAGCAATTTTGGAAAGTCTACTATGAACATCTAGAAAAAGCAGCTACACATGCTGGTATGCAAGGGGGTGTGGGGACCTGGGAAGACAGGTGATTGTTTAATTTTTTTACTGTATAATTTTGCATGAAATTGGGAAACAAGAAATGTATTATTTTTGATAACCTTTATATGTTTTCATATGTTATAAAAGAAAACAGTGTCCTCTCAAGGACAAACATTAACATTCTCTAGTGATTGTGATGACATTTTTCTCTTGCAGAGAAAGAACTGCAAAATGATACACGAGATGAGGAGAAGTCCACAGGGGATGCAAGTTGGGAGCAGGTCCAGAAAGCAGGTGTTGGAGCTCTCTATCAGGAGCAGTTAGCATTGAAAACTGACTGTCGGGAAAGATTGGACCATACCAACTTTCGATTTTTGCTCTGGCGAGCTCTGGCAAAATTCCCAGAGAGTGTTGAGCCACGATCCAGGGAGCTTTCTCCACTTTTCTTGAGATTTATCAAGTAAGTGTCCTCTTCTAGGAATACATCACTGGTAGGGTGTGAGGCAAAGGAGGTGAGAGACATTAATATTCCAAATTGACTGAGTTCTTTATATGTTTTCAAATCACTGTCATGTCTGTAAAGTACTGCTCTGTTAGATAACAGCTAAACTAGTTTTGTTCACCACTTAATTTTTCTATGAATAAAAATACAAACGGTACCAATAAAAAAAAATTCCAGGTTAATAAATAAGGGTCATACTGAGTTTGATCAATATACAAAGCCCTTGTTGTTTCTTGCCCTGTTCATTATTTTATTGCCCACCTGGGACTGGAAGAAATTTTCCAGTGACCCAAGTGCAACTATCTAAGTCTTTTTATTTTTTCCACAATACTGGGGAAAGTGCTCAAAGAACAACAGCCTTCTGGAGCATTGTTTTGTTTTGACTGGATATGCTACACGAGTGTCTGCTTTAAAACTCTAAAGACGAGGGATGTATGATGCAGAATAGAGTTAAACAATCAATAAACAGTATGTTTTCTAGTAATACTGCGTTATATGGGAAAATGCTGTAGGTTTAGGTTAAGCAGGCTGTAAACCACAGCATGCCTGGCTTATTCAAAGAACAGTGAAGAGGTCTGGGTGACTAAAACAGTGTGTTCCAGGGAGAAAGTGGTTGTAGCTAAGGGCAGAAGATTAACAGGAAACCAATTTGTGGCATTTACGTGATATTAAGAACTTTTGACTTTTACTGTTGGTGAAATGGGAGGACACAGGGAGGTTTAAGCAGAAAGATGATCTGTCCTAAGTTTTAAGGATTTTTCTGGCTGCTGTGTTGAGAATAGACTTTAGAATGGCAGCAAGAAGAGATTGCAGGTGTAGGCAAGAATTGCTACTGAGTTGACAAAGGTTACAGTATTAAAGAAGGATATTCTTTGAAGGATTTCAATTTGGTAAGATACATTTTTGAAGGATTGCAGTCAGATCAATCTATGGGATTTGCTAACAGATTGTGTGTAGTATGGGGGTGTGTGGTGATTGTAGGGAATAGGAAAGAGGGAGGAGGAATTGAGTATGTCTCTTAAAGTTTTAGCTTGAACAACTGAAAAAAAAGAGTTACCATTTATTGAGATTGGGAGAATGCAAGAGGTGCAGGATTGTGGAGGAGAATCATCAAGAGTTCATTTGAAAGATATCTTATGCTTGGAACACTAAATAGATGCCCAGGCAGATGTCAAGTAGGCATTGGATTTAGATCTGGAGATAATCAACTGGACATTCTCAGTACATGGACCATATTTAAAATCATTTGACAGAGTGTGAAATCATCTAGGGTATGAATGTAGGGTGAGAAGACTTCCAAGGGTTTAATATCCAGAATGTACAAGGAACTGAAAAAACTCAATAGAAAATAGAAGCAACCTGACTTGCAAATGAGAAATAGACCTAAATAGACATTTCTCAAAAGACATACAAATGGCCAACAAGTATATGAAAAAGTACTTAACATCACTAATCATTAGGGAAATGCAAGTTTAATCCACAATGAAGTCATTTCAGTCAAGAACACAGAAGTGAGTCAAGTGAAGCAGCATGTGCCAGTAATCCCAGCACTTGGGAGGATGAGGCAGGAGGATCTCTTGGGCTCAGGATTATAAGACCAGCGTGAACAAAGCAGTGAGAACTCATCTCAAAACAAACAAAAAAGGCAGATTTTCCTGCCACTCAGCTTCAGGTCTTACTTTTAGTCTTTAATCTATTTTCAGTTGGTTTTTATAATTGATGAAAGTTTGAGGTCTAGTTTTATTCTTCTCCATATAGATATCCAATTTTCCCAGCACCCTTTATTGAAAAAACTATCCTTTCTCCAGTGCATATTCTTAGCATCTTTGTTGAAAATCAGTTGGCCCTAGATGAGTTTACTTGCAGGGTCTTTCCTGATTCATTGGTCTAAGTGTCTGTTTTTATACCAGCACCATGCTGTTTTGATCAATACAGCTTTGTCACATGCTTTGAAGTCAGGTAGTGTAATGCTTCTGGCTTTCTGACTTTTGCTCAACATTGCTTTGGCTCTCTGAGATTGTGACACTATACTTATGAAAGGATATTGGGAATGTAGAATGCATCTGGAGGAATGTGATAGCATGGTCCTAATACTACAGTCTTTTGACATAATCTGCCTCTATCCAGTTTTAGTTCCAGTAACAGGCTGATTTCAGTTCGGTTCAAATTTGACATTTCACATCTTCAACAATGTACCCCTGGAACAGCCTGTCTTCGATAGTTGATGGTTGACTCATCAATGATGGAGAATAAAAAAGAATAGAGGTGTTGAAGTTTGACTAATGTACCTCTGATGTCTCTTCTGTGTATGATTCTGTGTACCATGGACATCGCTCTCATCAACAGAATTAGGACTTTCTGATTAGCTTTTATTCTTTGTCTGTCATTATCACTCTCTTCCTGCTGTAGCAATGAGTACTACCCAGCAGATCTACAAGTAGCTCCAACACAGGATCTGCGGAGAAAAAGCAGAGGGATGGTGGCAGAGGAAATAGAAGAGGAACCTGCTGCTGAGTTTGATGAAGAATTGGAGGAAGAGACTGTGCCTCCAGATGACCGTCCACAGAAGAAAAAGACAAGGAGAGCTGCAGCAAAGTGAGTTCACTATCACCAAATGGTCACAGATCCATGGTTTAAGAGGAGCAGGATGCAATATCTTTTAGCCTAAGTGAGAAATAGACTTATACAAGATGAACTACTCAGATCATTATTTACATAAGTGCCACTTTTTCCTGGGATTTTCTTTTACAGCCTCCAAAAAACTTCAGTCTTCTAAGTTTACTGTTCTGAGAAACAGTCTCGTCCTGGGATATGAGAACTGACCTGAAGGTGCTGTGACACCAAGAGAGAGGCAGACAGATCCAGGATTTACAAGTCAATTTCCTGGGACTCCACTGGACTTGCTGTCCAGGGCTACGTTTCTTCAGTCAGTGAGTCCTCAGTAAATTACACTCTGCAATCCTGGGTCTGTCTGTGGCCTTCAGCTCTCTTGGGGCTGGTTGTCATACACTGGGCCTGGGTTGTTTTGAAACAGTTACTTATTATTAGTCTTTTCTTGTTTAGCCACAGAGTGTTAGAACCAGGGGAACTTTTGAGGTTATTCCTTTGATCACAGCTCCTTTTAAAGATGAGAGCATTGGAGCTTAGACTGTTGAAATAGTCTTTGACCTTTGCTATTCACACTCTTAGCAGTTGGGCATTACATTTTGTTTACCAAGGGAACACATAATGGATTATCTTTTCTCATAAATAAGCATGTCAACACTTTACCTTTGGCTTATCTCCTACTAGTTACTGTTGTACCTCTTACTCTCTTGTTGCTCATTTATTTAAATTATTATAAACCTTAAAAAAAAGTGTCTATGCTTTCAGAAGTTATTTCAGCTTACTTAAAGATTATGTGAGTTGAGTTGAGGTGTCTAAGATCCAATGGTTTAGTCCTACTGTGTTATTTTAGAAATATAGATTCAGTACTTCATTCAGAAGTATGAGTTCATTTAATCAGCAACTGTATCTAGTACCCTTGGCTAAGTGCTGGGCTCCAAAGATGAATGGTCACAGCCTCTGTAGATGTCACAAATGCCTGCTGATGAGAAGTACTTTTAAAGGAGTTACAGGAGTACAGTAAAGAATTACTTCTACCACAAAGACCCAGGGAGGACTTTTGTGCTAAAAGATGAAAATTGGCTGGCCTTGGACCAGGAAGGACTTAACAATTAATGCAAATAGTGTGTAAAGCACAGAGCCAGGAAAGGTCATGGCCAGGCCACATGTAGCTATAGTTCTGTGCTCTAACTCTCAGAGCTCGGAACATGCTGTTCTGTACTACTTTAAGACAAAGATTGCTGTGTTCTCCCCATTTCTATCAGCATGATACCTAGAAAAACATTAGTCTTAAGTATGTGTCCGTTGAATAAATGAATAAGCCATTTATACCTCTGCTTTTCTCACCCCTCAGTCTTTGCACATGCTTGTACCTTTTCACAGTACCCTGGCCTCGTTTCTGCCAGTTGAAATTCCATTCATACTTTAAGACACACTTCTGGCAGTACTTCTTCCCTGGAGCTTTCCCTGTCTTTTAAAGTGAGAGTTATCTTACTTGACTTCAAACCTCTACCATAGAACAACTCCTTGCCTTGGATACTAGTTTTTTTATATACTTCTCCCATGAACTGTCTTTCATGAAACAGCCCTTTGGCAAGTATTTACTGAGAACATGTAAATAACTCCTGTTCTTTTTGATTTTCAAGGCTATGCATGACGTTAAAAATACTTAATGACTATTAGAGACAAGAAAATTTTTTGAGTTTATTTGTAAAGTTGCAGGATACTTATGTAGAGTATATAAGGGTATCATGAGTTCCAGATTATTTTCTCTATGTTAATTAGTAGGACTTTGACATTTTTTTCCTTATTTTGCCCAGAAATTGAGGTACCACAATTTGTACTCCTCCATTTAATCACCACAGAAAACCTATCGTGTTTATCAAAATGAGGAAAGTGGGACTCTGGAACATTGATTACATTCAGCTGTCCCTAGAGGCACACATGAGGCTCACTTTCCACCACTTTACTCCTCCCTGTTACATTCTTCAAATAGGCAAATAACACTCTTGAAATTATAGGCTTATTTATCCAACTTTTTGCCTAAAGGTTCTATTACATTTTATAGATTGTATACAGAGAGAGAAGAGTTTTCTCAAAGAATTTTAACGTTTTGTAGAGTCTGTGGATTAGGAAGATGCTCTCTGCCCAGACTGTTTTAGTAGATAATATCTTTTGTTCTGGGCATTCCCATCTTCACACTTAACTCCCCATTGATGGGATGTGGCTGTTTCTTTCTCCTTCATGGTAAGCAGAGGCCCTTGTTAACAAAATTGGACTTCTCTTGCCTCATCAGTATTTATGTTATATGAAAGCAAGGAAGAATATATATCTGCCAAGGATTGTTGTCACTGCTTAGATCCTAGACAAGGAATAATCCCAGAACTCATCTGTGTGCAACTTTGGAATGTATTATTGTTTTGATTACTTTCTTTCTAATTTTGGTTTCATTTAAACCATTTTAAACGCATCCCAAAAAAATTTCTGGGGTGGGGAGCCTGAATTTCAGGGAGAAGTCTGTCTGAGGTTTGGAATTTCCAGAGAATAATTTCCTAAATGCAAATAAATAAAATTCATTTAATTAGCAGTGAAACCACAGGCAGGGGTGTTTGCTGTATTTGTCAGAGACAGTAAAACTGTGCTAATGACATTTCAAGAAAATAATCTCTATTTTTTCATTCTATAATACTCTATTTTGTTTTGTTTAGGCAGTTAATTGCTCATTTGCAAGTTTTCTCTAAATTTTCAAACCCCCGGGCCTTATATCTGGAATCCAAATTATATGAGTTGTATCTTCAGGTAAGTAAAATAAATTCTCAGCATTATAATTCTTAGGAACTTTTCTCTATCATTTTCTTTTTTTGCTTTCTTTTTTGATGGTTCTGAGGTTTGAACTTGGCCTTGAGCTTGCTAGACAAGTGCTTTACCACCTATCCCTCTATCATAGTCTTTATCAAAGTAACCTTTAGATTTTTAGTAATTGTGGAATGGGGCCAATGTCTGCATTTTAAATATTAACTTTTTTTAAACTAATAGACACATTTTCTATTACCTTGAGAAACCATTGTATATTATATGAATTTAGATGATTTTAAAAGCATTTTGAGTGACTAAATATTGACCAGCTGTACCCAAAGTGAGAGTAGTAAAACATGAATTATAGTATAGGAGTTGGCTTTTAGAAGAAAATGGAAGTTGTATCCAGGGCAACTGGCTGCCTTTCTATTCTAAGTTAGTTTAGCCTTTGTTGAGGACTATTGTTTCAGGATCTGTTAGATGAAGTGAAAACAGAGAGTAGGAGTAATTGTCTATTGCAGTCACATTGTAGGCCTCTGAATTCCAGAAAAATTTAATGTCAGAAGCAGAGGAAGTACTGGGTATCATTTAAGCCATCCGGGGAAACGAAATTTTCTTTTTCATGTTGGTATCTTTCAGATGAAACTTGATCAGTTCAGCAGAATTTATCCATGTCCATTCTGACGGCTTTGTTTATAAAGTCAGAACTTAAAAGTCTGTTGCCACAAGAAATAAAGTTTGGATTAGAGAGACCTCAGAGCCAAGTCCTCTTTCCTGGTGTCTTATTCACTATTATTACCTTTACATATGATCAGCACAACTGGTTTGGATCCAGATTCTCAGAAAATTGAAGTCAGAGTTTTATTTCCTCTGTTTTTTGTTTGTTTGTTTGTTTGTTTTGAGACAGGTTCTCACTGTGTATCCCAGGCTGGCCTGGAAACTCACTGTCCTTCTTCTCAGCATCCCTAGTGCTGGGGTTACAGACATGGGCCAACACACCCAACTCATTTCCATTTTTTTTTAACATACTCTGTTCATCTTCCTTTGACTCTAGGAAAATGTAGGACTGTTGTAAGGAGTAAGCTGTAATCCTTGTCTAAAAATAATACATTTCAGGAAATTTAATTCAGCAAATTTCTATGCCTGTGATGGTGTATATGTCACTTTATTAATTTATTCTATAAACTATTGTTCCTAGTTGTTGCTACACCAAGATCAAATGGTACAAAAAATAACATTGGATTGCATAATGACATACAAACATCCTCATATCCTTCCTTACAGGTAAGTTACTTAAAGCTAAAGAAATATTACTTCTTTTTTACACTGAAGACCCTTCTACAATGATTTTTTAAAGGCCTGAAAAATTTCCCTCTTTTCTAAGGTAATCATAATGCTATTTCCAGGCAGGAAATTAAAACTGGAAGTGTATCTGTTAAGAGTCTTTGTTCTCTATAGATAATAAAGTGAGTAAAATAAAAATGTGTTGTGAAAGTTATATAACTTCTTTATCCTTCTTAATATAATGCCCTAATATCCTGGTGATTACTTAAGGAATCATAACTACTCTTAAGCCCTCAAGAAAGCTTATGTGTCATGCTCTTTTTAAACAACTGAATTATGGACTAAATTTCATCCCTTCTAATTTATTTTACTTTCTGAAATTTGAAGATATTTTTGTGAGGATTTTTCTTTAGAAATAGTTCTACAATATGAACTATTTAATACCTTACTTTAGTTGTACTAATTATTCTTTGTAGATACTACTTTACTGTGGACTGAGTGATGACTTGTGCCATATTCTGTTTTTAAAGGGAAAGCTTACAAAGGTTACTTGAGGACAGAAGCTTTAAAGAAGAAATAGTGCATTTTAGCATTTCAGAAGATAATACTGTAGTGAAACCAGCCCACCGAGCAGATTTGTTTCCTATTCTGATGAGGTATTTATACTGTTTAAAGACTGAGTTTTAAACAAAGTCACAAACACGATTGTGGATATAGCATTATAATTCTTTTTGGTAGTTGTAATATTTCATTTTGTATTTTCTTTTGATTATTCTTTGTTTTTAATTGAATCTTTTGGAAAAAGCCAAATTGTTTATCTTACATACTATTACTGTTGTTCATTGAATCATTGGTCTGTGTTAATAGATTTTTATTCATTACTCTGTTGCATTTCCTGAAGTAATCCTTTTTTGGTTTTAATGCAATTCTAGATACTGTATTTAGAAATAAATAAGATTAGTAGTTAGTTTTATTTTCGTTAACACCCATCTCAGTATTAGTTTTATCATCTTCATTAAAGAAAAAGGCTATTTCCTCCTTTCTTTCTGCTGTGAAAACATAGCATGGCAATTACTTTTTCTCCCTGAAAGTTTAAAAAATTTACCTGTTAAACTGCATGAGCTCCATGTTTTCTAAGTAATTATTGGTCTATTTGTGTTTTTTCCAACTATTTCATTGAATTCTTTCAAGCTCCTTGTCTTACAGTTTTATTCACTTCCTTTTACTTCTCTGTATTCTTGTTTTCAGTTTGATTAGACTTCCCATTGACTTGCCAGTTTTATTGCTTTTGTTTACTATTTTCATCATCCTGCTTCCTGATAGCCTTGTTTCGTTTTTGTTTTTCTAAATATGTGTATTATATATTTAATTATCCTTGCTTTAGAATATATCCATTTTAGTGTTCAGTTGCTCTTACCATCTTTTAGTTAAACAAAACTACCATTAGGTTTTGGAATTAAATACTGTGCAAACAATGTTCTTTTGATTTCTAGAATTTTGTATGGGAGAATGAAGAATAAGACTGGGAGTAAAACTCAGGGGAAATCTGCTTCTGGCACACGCATGGCCATTGTTCTGCGTTTCCTGGCTGGGACCCAACCCGAGGAGATCCAGATATTCTTAGACCTGTTGTCTGAACCTGTGAAACACTTCAAGAATGGTAGTAGTACCTGTCTTCCATGCCATGCAGTAGACTTGGATTATTTCAGGCTAGGTTTCACATTCTTTCTGGACATTAGAAGTTAGAAGTCTTTCCACTGGAGTTGGTCCTCCCACCCTCAGTAATGGTCTTTTGGCTAAAGTGTAGTTCATGCTAAACTTTGAATTTAGCAATCTCACAATCAAACCCAGGGATTATTAGCACTCTTGTGTTATAAGTAGAACATGTCTATTTTTTAGTTGTTGTGCATTTAGGCTATTTGGAAAACGATGAATACTTACCCATATACAAAGTATGGGTATCTTCTAATAGACTAAAACCTGACTTACTCAGTTCATTGACTAGTAAGCTCAAAAGAAGATAATACATGACAAAAGTTCAGTGTTATCTATAAATTGTCACGACAGTGGGAAATACTATATTGCTGGGGACTCACCTTTCACAATGTCTTGTGATAGGAGAGTGCCATTCTGCAGTTATTCAAGCAATGGACAGTTTGGATCTCTCTAAAGTTCTTCCTCTGGGTCGTCAGCATGGCATCCTAAATAGCCTGGAAATAGTACTGAAGAACATTAGTCATCTGATCAGTGAATACTTACCAAAAATTTTGCAGATACTACTCTGTATGACAGCAACCGTATCACACATCCTTGACCAACGAGAAAAGGTGAGAGACTCAGAGGAGATGCTTTCCTCTTAGCCTAAGGAGTCTGGCTTTACTTGGAAGTTGGGTTGGAGCCTGAATTACTAACATTTTTGGTTAAATGTCCTAGTGTAACCCTTTGAAAGTCTGTTTTTAAAACAGTAACATTTTAAATATAAATATTTATATATAACTAAAAGATACAAATTGTATCAAGTATATATTTTTAAAAGGAGTGAAGTTATAGACTGTAGGTTAGTACTGTTCTCTTCTCAGAAGTCCATCTTGGTAGTTCTTGAGCTGATGTTTCTTACATTTTAATTCTAAGAGCTTAGAGATGTAGGATATTTTCCAACTCTCAAGAATGAATCAAGAGCTGTTACTCTTGATTTGTTACTTTGAGACAGAGTTCTATGGAACTTTTTAAGAAGTAAATGCTTGCCTATAATCAGTGCGGTGTTTTTGAAATAAGCTGCGAGGTCAAATAAGAAAAGATTTAGACTCATATTTTGACTACTGATACTCAGCTAATGACAAATAGTTACAATTTTAATTTGGCTAAACTCTTAGCATTTGATTAATGGATATGCCTGGTGAACTGCCTCTCAAATATAATCATAAGTGAATATTGACTGCCAAAATTTTAGGCTGCTTTTGGAGGCTATGGATGGATATAAGTCTGCTGTAATAATGAAATAAGTGACCAGGTGAAGGCTCCCTGAGATGGGAACAGAGGTGGCTAGAGTACAGAGAACAAGAAGAGTTGGATAAGATTAATTTCAAAAGGTACATAGGGAGCTAAGGAAATAGTTTAGTTTGGTGGTAGAGTGTTGCCTAGCAGGTACAAGGGCTTGGGTTCAATTTCCAGCACCACTTAAAAAAAAAAAAAAAAAAAAAAGAGAAGAGGTCAGTAGTGTGGTTATGTAGGACCCTGTAGGCTATGACAGAATGTGCATTTACTTCTGAGTGTAAATATATACTTCACTTCCTACCAGGAAATTGCTGAGAGACCTGAAACAGGGAGGTGGTAAAGACTGTTTAGTGTTTTCAAAATATTGCTTTGGATAGAGTGCCTGCTTTACAGGTGCAAAGCCCTGATTTCAAACCCCAGTCCCACCAAAAGAAAAAAAAAAAAAA